GTAATGGTTTTTGTTACCACGCTTTGCCCACTTAAAAGTGCTGCTTTCAATAGACCTGTGATCTTCAAATGGTGTGCGACAAGGATTTTTAAAACATGCAATACCTGGCTGTTTAATCAGGGGCACTGACCCTTTCTTCAGATTGTGAAAAAGAAAACTTGACAACCAACACAATAATAGCCGTCTGTTATGAATGGAGCAAAACTATATCTATCTTTTTGTTCAGACTGGCAAAAAATATATTTTAGTGTGCTGCAAAATATTAGTTTGTGTCATGAGATGAAAAGGGTTGAAAATGGCTGCAATAGACCAGTTTAACTTTTACTGAAAGATGCCCTAACTCATTAGTCCTTAGGGTGTATATAAGTTATATTAAAGAGAAATTTTATTAGAGATAGGCAACTTTAAAAAATGCAAAGATCAAGATGGTTTTTCTGGAATATTTAGTTACTGGCACTCTACTGTTTTCTTCGCTGAATGCAGTTACCTAGCATATTTTTGAAGAAATATTTTTATAAAATCATTTGTTCTAATCCAAGCATTTATCATTATATGCAAAAAGATTTCTTGATGAGAATATTATAGACGGTGCATATTTTTGACATTAGCATTTTATTTGGATGACTAATCTTGCAGATGTGAAATTTAATGAATTATTCATGATATTGCTTTCCTCTGAAATCTTAGTTTGCTCTTAATGCTAGTTATTAAACATTTTGTTTTTCTCTATAAAATTTGATGAAGAAAAGTAAGGTCGTACTTCCTCTAGAGAAAAGGTAGCTTCTCCTTTTTATTTGTACAATTCTCTAAATGGAGACTTTCACTTTGAAATCCCGAGGACAAGAGCTTCAGCCCTCTGTGATGTTGAGGGCTTTTAGTGAAGGCTGATTTTAATTCAGTGTTGGAAGCAGCTGGTGATAAACCCAAGGCATGTGCCTCTCATACAGTATCAGCAGGTCAGAAAGGGAAAGAAACTTAGGCTGTGGCAACGTTTACTACCAGTGTGAACAACCAGCATTTTATTGCATTTGAGAATGCTATAATGTCAGTAATTAGTACTGACTACACAACATTTTTTTTTTTTTTATTGTCTGTATCCACAGACATGGAATGATGGAATTACACTTGATCTCAAGGAATGAGTTTCTTTTATGCCTTATCAAAACAAAACAAAACAAAACAAAACAAAACAAAACAAAAGGTTCTTGTTACTGGCAGCACACATCTGTGAAGCACCGTGAGTGAGCGCGGTCCGCACTGTACCGTCTTCACCAAGGCTCCTGGTTGGCAGAGACTGTGTGAACTACACTGGGCCCACGGAATGCCTTTAGAATTACAAGTCTCGTTCTCAGGACAAAAAAGTGAAACCAACTCTCAAAGACATCCAAAATATCAAAAGGGCACACCATTAACCAAAGGTACCAAAAATATTCAAACTCCTTATAAGCATGTTCTTTGTACCCTTGGAAATGGAGCTCAGCTGGAATGTGGAAAGGAAATATTTAACGTGTTTTTTTTTTTTCCATGATAAAATAGTTAGTGATTTACACCATAATTTTGGGTTAAGAATCCAAGTTGTTCTTTACCAGGTCTGATGGAACGCTGGGAACAGTGTTAGAGCTGTCTGAAGGTGCAGGCTGGCAGTCACTCATTCTGGACATAAGCCTTGATATTTCATTGCGCTGCTGGTCCAAACCAGGCAGCGTAACTCGTCTTACCAGGACAGACTCTAGGGACAAATAGGGTGGATCCTCATTCCTGACAGCGCGTTTGCCTGAAACGAGGGACTATCTCTCTAATGTACGCTTTTCTTTGGGAAAACAAAAGGTAACAAACTGTGTTTACATCTTGGCACCTTTTAAAGTTTTTTCTTTCTTTTTAATACAAAAAGTTCCATAGCTTTGACACGCCCCATCATTAATCACTACTTCACTGATAAACTTTTAAAGTGTGACCCTGCAATTTCATCATGCAAAATATTTACTGCAGCAGGAGAAAACATTTCTTTTTCTCTTTTTAGATGTATGAACTTCTTTAAGATAGCCAGAAAGGCAGTGGTAGGATAAACACAATGGATAAGGAATGTATCAAAAAACATTAACACACATGCGCACGCGCACACACACACACACAAACCTGTACAAAATGCTCTAATCAATGAGAATAGGGGGGAAAAAAAAAGTCTGTCAACTATGTTACAGTTTAAAAGCAAAAAAAAAAAAAAAAAAAAAAAAAAAAAAGGGACTTTTTCCCTCCCACATGTCAGGAAATGTCATCCAATATTCTTAAAGCAAGGATAACTAAATAAAATACATGTGCAGCATATTCTGCAATTCCATTACATACAGTAGTTTTTTTTCCCAAAGCTATTTTTTAAGTATCATTAATATAAAGCAGTTGCACAAAAAGCAAAGTATTTTGACAAACAGGTGTATGCATTTATTCCTTCTTAGGAACAATATCTAAAAAAAGAATCGCCCTCCTCCCTCCCCCCCAAAAAGACAAGATTCACACAGACACATTGGGATATATGTACAACATAATAAACCCCATCCTAAAGAAGCAACCGGGATAGCCCCAAGGGATACAGAATCAGAATTGTAAAAATCATATGAAGTTTACTAGCTTTAAAGCCTGAGAATTTTTTTTTCAGTTGGTTCTTCTGCAAGGCTGTGATACCTGCAAAGATAAGTAAAATCTAATCTTTTCTTTTTTTTTCCTTTTTGCTACAGTCTTTAGACTAAGCATGCAAGACATACAACTAGTGCAACTGAGTGAAATGTATTTTTTTTTATTTTAATCATTCCCTAAAGGTTTGAACTGAGGTATGCGTACTAACAGTTTCTCATGCTGTTATCTTTACTCATGTCTAGCTACACATGCTGAGAATGAACTAATCTACCAGATTTTTATCCTCTTTTGAATATCAAACTAACCCGCAACCACTCAATTTAGAAGCACAGGGCCCCCTTCCCATGACCCTGTCTGGCTACTGCCTGCACATCATGAAGCTGCCTGGAAAAGATAAAAACAAGTCTCGAGTGACCACAGACTGCCCTTTATACAGAAAGCAGAGTGAAGCTTCAAAAGTTAACTGCCAAAAATGTTTTTGTACCAAGCTTATGAGTGGACAGGAGTGTTACTTCTTCTTCTTTTTTTTTTTTTTAATAAAAAAATGCTGACCAAAGTTTAATCAGAAAAAAAGGAAAAATTTTTTTAAAAAAAACCAGAGGCCATATGATAAGATAAACCAAAATTAATGCAGTGATTTTAGCGCAGGTCTTAAACAAAAGTGGCATACAATCTTTCTTTTGGAAAAAAAAAAGTATTCTAAAAGTAATTTAATGTGGTCTATTTCCATTGTGGAAGCTTTTTCTCTTCTCTCTGAATTTTACTGGACACCCCCCAATTTTCAGTGATATACATTCATGTTTTTCTTTGAGATGGGACTCCCTTCTTTCATTTGCTCCTTTAATACTGTGTCCTATTTTTATCTTCAGTAGCCCCCTATATATCTCTTCACAAGAATGTGTTTTCCGCTCTCCAGGGATACAGAAGAGAAAAAACCAACAACTAAAAAAAGTTACAACTTTGGTTCCATTTCCTACTTGGTCTTCTAAATTTATGATGAAGGAGCAGTACTCTCTTTCTCAGGTTAGCAATAGCCTGTATCTCATCAATTGCCTCTAAATTCTTTTGCCTCCTTTGATCAACAATAAGAGGATATTTGGCTTCATCAGATAAAGCATAAAACAAAACATAATTTACCTTTGTGTAGTATCTTTGGTAATTTTAGAAAAAAAAGGTACAAAAAATATAAATAAAGCTCCAAAGGGCTCTAAAATTAAAAACAAGAGCCACGGTCCTAGATAAATAAATGAATGACAGGAGAGTGGCTGCAGCATGGAAGTGTCCAGGGTTCTCAGGACGGAGGGTGTGCTGACAATGACCGTCACGTCCTGCATGTTCGTTTCCCAAAGAGCCCAGGGCTGAGATGCGCCCCATCCGCTTGATATCTTCTACTGTTAGCTTTTGATACTGGGTTGGTGTGATCATATTGCATAACAAACTGAACTGCAGTAGCAAATTTGCACATTTGAAATGAACACTTTAGCATTTGCTCAACTCAGTCTTCATTAACTGTCGTAACAAGTTCAATCTGAACTCTATTTGCATTCAAACAGATTAATGCCACCAAGCAAGTCTGAACTGATGTTTCAATTCAGTACCACTACAACCACCTCCTCTTTCAGCAAAGTTTCTCAGGGAAGCCAGCTTTTTGGCCATTTTGCAAACAAAGCAACCCACACTGGTTTAACATGGCTCATCACGACTTGGTTCCATGAAGGTGAGCCTTCCACAGCCAGACTGTCAGTCTAATGATTATGAGATTTTTTTTTTTTTGGAGGCTGCTGCCTGTGGTCCCTACTGCTGGTAAGACGCTGTGGCATTTAAGAATGGTGGTAGCTGTAAAAAAAGAGGAAAATCTGAAACAATCCCTTCTACTTTGTAGAATGAATCTGCATTGCTCCTAGAGTGTGTCTATTTTTTTTTTCTGTCATTCATTCTCTTTCTAGCAGGACTTCACATCTGTGTGAGAGGACCTTCATGTGTAGAGTGCAGCATTTGGGACCTTTTTGAAAAAGACCAAAACGGAATGTTTTCCGACTTTAGAGAAAATGTGGTGATGTCTGAAGGGAAATGGAATGAGTGACAGAAAACTACAAACAAGAAATGACATTCAGCTTTGTATAATAAAAACACCTATTAACATTCATCACAAGATACAGAAAACTTTAAGCCTCCAAGAGGCCGTGGGCCCAAGAGGAGGCCTGAGGTCAGAACTTAAAATGGTATAGTAGAAGCAAGAAAAAAAAAGCAATACATTAAAAAGTTTGGGATAATTATTTTAACCCCTCCCCCCAATACACACACACACACACACACAAAGGCCTTCCCCATCCCAACTGGAAGCAAAAAAAAAAAAAAAAAAAAGAGAGAGAGAGAGAGTAAAAGGCAGTGATAATCAACATGCAGTACTGTGCAAATAGGTTGTCCACTGGAATCCTTAAATTCTGGGCAGAGGCTTGTTCTGCAGCGTAGGTGCACATGCTCAGTTGGGTGTCCTCAGGCTCCAACGTCGGCAGGACTGCAGTTCAAAGTCTGCTGCTAAAAGTGAATCAGTTTAGCAAATTTACAACAGATGTTGACTGTTTAAGAGAGGAAAATCCCAAGTACCAAACAAGTCCGTCCAATGCACAGAGTACAAATTCCTTTTTTCAACAAAAAGTAGAAAAATCAAAAATACTCCCAAATGGGATTCTTGATGGCACTAAGAGTTAACACATTTCAGAGTTGTCAAAATGTAGCGAAACTCCTCCAGACTGTACAACAAATGGAGAACAATTTCACTGCTCACTTTTGACGTTTTGTTTTGCTTTTTCCCAATCTTTATTCTTGGGATTGGCCTGCCCAGATGTTCACTCCATGTCCTCATTTACTGGTTCGTCTTCGTAATCTCTGTCGTGGTCAAAATCTGGACTATGGTTGGCTGTTGTCACTAAGGATAAAGGCCCTTCAGCTTCCTCTGGATCGAGGGGCTCTTCTTTGACGTGCACAGGATGCCTGGAAATACAAGAAGAGGTTCATTGAGAGAAATTCCCAGTCCAATGCAATTTAGCTCTTTTGGGCAATACAAAAGCACACTCTAGGACAGCACTGTCCAACACAGTAGCCACTAGCCACATGTGGCTATTTAAATTATAATTAATTAAAACTTAATACAATTTAAAATTCAGTCTCTCAGCTGCACTGACCACATTTCAGATGTTCAATGGCCACAGGTGGCTAAGGCTACCATGCTGAACAGCACGGAGGCAGACATTTCTACCATCACAGAAAGTTCTTTTCATGGTGCTGCTCTAGAATGACTTGTCTCTGGACAGAAACAGGCCCCTTCCTCAATGGTGCTCTCAGACTTCACTGCGCACTCCAATCACAGGAGGATCTTGTTAAAATGCAGAAAGTGACTCAGAAGATCTGGGGTGGGACCCGAGACTCCGAACCTCTAGTAAGCTCCCAGGCGACGCTGCTGGTCCAAGGACCACACTTTAGAGTGCCGGAAAACAGGCTCTGCCATGGCATCCTGGGTGGATGAATGCAAACCTTTAAATAATTATGTGAACTAAGAATCTGTAAGACAACGGCGGTTTGTGGGGACCACGGAATGCAGGAGGCTGGGTAATCACAGCTCGCTGAGTGTTCTGCTTTGCTCGTTAACATGCAGAACCTGTGAAAGAACTCTCCCGAGACCGACCCCAAGCGAGGTTCTATCATTAATCAACTTCAAGCAAACACAGCAAAGAGACACCATGATACATGCTTGAAACTCCAAATTAATGCATATTTTTACAAACTGTCAATAAGGCAAGAAAAGCCCTGCCAGGAAACACAAACGAAAAGGAAGAGGCTCCCTCAACACAACAATATGATAAGAAAGCAGAGCCCCAATCAGAATAATAACGCTGTCAGCTGTAAACAAGGCAGAACATGAGGCTGGCTGCTAGTGGCCACCGGGACGTGGGCCCTGCAAGGAGATCTGCCAACTGCCTCATTATGGACTGAGCAGGGTTCAGCCTAAGGGGCCCCTCAGGGATCACAGGACACCACTCTGATAACAATTGAGAAATGTTGTTCGTAAATCATATTTACAACCAACTCTTTGCAAATACAAATTACTTTCTGTTACAGGGCTTTTGATATGTAAAAGAATCATTCAAGTTAAACCGGGCCCCATTGCTGGGACACGCTGCAGAAGGAAGGATTTTTAATTGACATTATCAAGTATTAGTAATAAGAAGTGTTACTGGGGATGGCTTGCTTCCTAAATAATTGATGCTGTATGCAAACCCTGAAGGCCACTTGAACCATTTAAAAACAAACAGGCGTGCTTTGGACTGCCCTTGACAATGTAAACCTTCACAAAACAAATTGACTCTAAAATTAGCACAGCCTAGAGACTTTTTGGGAGTAGATGTTAGGATAAATAGCTTTTTAAAAACCATGCCCATATTCTTAAAAACTATTTGCAAAACAAAGTACACCCAAATTGTGTAACAGCACACCTTACTAGTTGTGCTTTACGTACTTTTCCTTTTTTAATGGTGCTATTTATCTGTGTTTCTACAGTGAGACCCAGGACTGGCTATGTATTTTGCAGAGCCCTGTGTAAAGTGAAACTGTGCTTCAAAATTTAGTAAGAAATTCAAGATGGAGACAGTCTTACGCATGGGAACCTGTGCAACTGCCTACAAGAATGCCTGGAAAGTCAACCCTGGCAGGATCCCCTATATTCTTTTGGGAAGAATTAGCTGCATTGATTATTATTATTTCTTAAAAAAAAAAAAGTCACCCATAATCCCAAATTAGTGGAGGTGTTTTGTTTTTGCCTATCTTCTCCATTAGAGGTCATATTTTTATATCCTGTAAACACAGCAGGAACACAATAGTTTATTTTGCTACCTTTACAGTTATAATTTTTATGGCTATGTGAGATACCATTAATGTGTTGACACATTAGCACCCTAATACTCAAGAGTTTGTGACTGTCTTTTTTTCTTTCCCATCTCTTCTGCTATTTGTACATACAACGATGACTTTTATCCATTAATCTTTCTACTTCTGTTGATTTACCTCTTTAGGATAAATTTCTAAGAATGTAATTTAAGTTAAGAGCAAAGACCAAAACATCCTTATGGTTAGGAGTCACTGTGATATTAATTTCCAAAGGGGTTCTATCAATTTAAACTCAACCTCACTGGCACCAAGGATTACTTTTTAAAAATGTCGCTTAGCAGGTATAAGGGAAACTCAGGTTACCTTAAATTGGGTTTTTGGGATTACTGACAACAGTGTACATTTCTTTTTTTTTTTGTTTCGTATTTTCACTATTGAGAATTGTAAACTCATAAACTACTGCCTTCTTCACTAATCACACGGTTGTGACTAATTGGATAAAAATGTGTCTTGTGTTTTACTTTGCTATATACTGAGGTTCAAATGTAGTTTTTCAACATTTTCCTAGTTTTGTTTTTTAAACAATTAGATTTATTCTTCTTTTCTGGTTTATAAATCTGAATTTGATGATGTGAAATGAAAAGAGGATATGGGAAAGAGGGCATGGGAATTCCTAGAAGAAATCAAATAGTCATAATGAAATTCTTACTTCATCGTTTTTAGGCTTTGACAAATAATTTGCTGGGCAAAACAATTAAAGAAATACAAATCCGATACCGATAAGCACCCCCCAACAGAGTGCACATTAGGGAGTATTTTGTCATCCCTCCCTTCAACAGTTGTAGCCAAACTTCATTAAGATTATTACTATCACAAAGACACAAGTAATGACCCTATCGCACTGGGCTCAAGCCCAGTGCCAAATGCAGAGTGGGTCCCCAACAAATATTAACTGAAGAGATCTGCTGTGTGACAACCTGACAACACAGCCAGAGATGAAATCCAGATCCCCAAGTGTGGCAAATGCAGTCATACAGACAGACACACAGTGCTCAGACAATAAAAGAGAATGGATCTCTGTGCAAGATACACGCCTGGTAAGATATTATGCTTCACACATGCCCATGTGTCTCCTAGAAACTGGAGCTGCAGGACGCGCCGTCTTCTCTTGCAGGTCAAACTCCCCACACCCACACCCACCCCCTCTCTTTCTCCAACTCCTACTTCCTAAAGGGCTACTAGTGAATAGCTGTAAAACCACACATTTCCCGTCTTACATCCCAGTAATTCCTTTGTTTAGCCACTCTGGGAACACAAGAGTTTGTAACTAAAGCTGACTGGTGTTTAAAGGCATTGTGTTCCCAGGGTACCTGCACACCTTGGAGTATTTTGCTTTGTAGCTCCTTTAGCTCCTATCAGGATAAAAGTGTAATGCCCCGAAGCTATAATTATATGACGACTTTCTAGGGTTTCAAAAGAGAAACAAAATGTAACAGTATATGAGTGTCACAGAAACGGTAAGAACGAAGAGTTCTGTTTCTACACCAGCCATTAGCTAGGCTACGGTACTAACAAGGTCCTTTAAGCCTTGCTATAAGATTTACAGATTGATTTATTCCAATAGACTGGAACAGTTAAGAAACAATTTGCATCATAGCAGGGTAATGCATATTGGACAAGAATGGAAACTATGTCATTAGAGAATTTACTTAATGGAAATACGGGGTCAAAAAGAGTAACAATCTATGACACTGACAGCAGGCACAGGGGCCATGCTGTTGACACAGGGTTATATTTAGCAAACAGTGTGAACCTGCACGATTTGAGTAAAAAAAATCATATGCATTTTGATGACTTTATGTGAGGTGTCTTTTATTTAGGTGTCTTTTCTTTTAAGTAGTTGAAACCTTCATTTTGTTAAAAATTATGCTGACTGCTGTAAAACATGGTTTCTGGTAATACTGGGGTTAATTCAAAGTTGTTAAACAAATTAACTTTATAGTGACTTTATCTTGTACAGCAAAATTAACATCACTCTAAAATGCTGCCTGAGGTTTTTATCCAGATATATTTTTTTTTCCTTTTTTAAGTGATCCTTTATACTAAATAATAGGAATATACATCAACTAAGTCTTGGACTTCATACGGATTATGAGAAACAGTATATTTTCCACTCAGTAACATCAGATATTTTTGCTCTAATGAGGATTTCTTGAAGTAGCTTATATAGCAATTTACATTTGCTCTGAACTTCCTTGATGTCTGAGTAAAAACTCCTGTCATGACAATGATTTAAAGATGAACATGAGTGTGGTAATGATCAAGTCAGAAACACTATGTTGCTTTAGAAAGCATGATATATGGGAATATCTTTTAGAATAACGTGGAGTAAATGCTCAGAGGCCATTCATATAAACTAAAAACCATTTCCATCTTTAAAAATCATAAATTCAAATGCTAAATAGTCAAATTTCAGATTCCTTCAAACCCACCAATTACCCTGGCAAGGGGCATTTTTTCTTTGTCATTAGATGCCAATACATTCTGTTCCTAATCGTTACAGGTCATATTTTCCGTTCCTATTGCTCAAATAATCTTAATATAAGATGTTGATTCGTAATTCAGAAGACTGTATGGACGAGCAGCTTATTCTAAGAGCTGACAGTATGCAAACACTGAGCTAGTTTATTCCTTTAAAGTGGGCATAGCTGTGCGGACACTTGCTAAAAGGAAGACTCATTCTACAGCGGCCTCCTACCCCCTGCAAATGCAATTATTTGGGAGAGCGTGGTTTCTCTTCTCTTTTGACATTTTCCTGGGAGGCAGGGAGCTGTTACAGGCCCACCTGTTCCCTCCATGACACACCCACAGGGGACCACAGCCTTTCCAGTGGTTTGCCTGGTCCTGGGGACATTCGCATTCAGCACAGACAACCATCACCCCTCACTTCATTCTGTTATGTGTATGCTCATTACACTGCCGTCTGCTGCTAGAATGCTTCTATTAATTTTCCTTTTGATATTTTAAGAGCAATCTATAAATCATGCTGCCTTTCATTTGTGCCATCATTAATGGTTGGTAATAATGATCTGGCACTATGCTCACGGTTAAGCTTATCACACAAGCAGGTAAACAAGCATCCTTTTTCTCCCTGCTAGGATCAGCATGCCTGCGAGAAGAACAAACCACAAACTTTTTCAGAGTGATGCATACTAATTTTAAGAGGACAAGGTAAGGTGGCTTAAATAATGGCCTGAGATGCGAAGCAGAGGGTAACATCCATTTTACTGCAGTGTGCACTTAAAGGCTGCATGAAGCCGTCGCTTTTATGGGAACATTACAAAATGATGCAGAGCTAAATGTTTCCAGAAATACTGGGTTGTAGAAAGTCAAATATTACAGAAAAAGTGTAAAGGTGGCCACAGACTGGCTTGTGTGCACATAAAACAGGAAGACTAGAATCTGAAAGTGGAGTTCTTCTGCGTGGACAGTACTCACACAGCTTGCACAGGGGATCTGCCTGGACTGCTGTCGCTCTCGTTGCTGTTGGTATGCTCCATTGCCCCGTTCAGCTCTTCCCGCATGGCGCTGGCTAAGTTGCCCAGAGTGGGATTTCCCATGGAAGCGGTAGTGTATAGAGGTATACTATTCTCAGCCATCGAAGCCTGCCATCAACCAAGAGAAAATTTATGAAGATGTAGTGTGCGCATAGAGAGGGAAGCTATTAATTACAGGTGTATTCGACAGTCTCCAGTTTCAGTTCATTGTACTGTGGTTGGCAAATTCAAGTTTCTAATAGAGTGAGACAGATTTTGCTTTAAAAGTAAGACTTGTGGTGCAAGTCCCAAGCCTGGTTTCAAAGAGCTAGCTGGGGGGCCAGTGGGAAAGGCAAAGCACGTGGGGAGGGGGCCTCTATTCAGCCCTGCTGGTTAGAGTCGCATGGCTCAGACAAGGTGATCTAATAATGAGGTTTATGTCTGATGCCTTTTTTCAAGAGCAACTGAATATTTCCAGATCACAGGGAAATATAATGGAATTTTCATTTCTTTATCCACTTTGATGACTCCAGTATTGGATATTAGAGATTTGATCAGATTATTCTGGCTGCAGAGCTCAAACTTATGAGAATTTCCATAAACATTTACTTCATAGAACCTATAGAAGAGGAAGAGTCTATAGAATTGGAATCAGTTTTTATCTCCCCCAATCATTTCTGTTTTAATGATACTGAATTCGTTTAGTGCAGTTTGAGACAACTGGTTGAAGGTAATACCATGCAATCTTTCAGACTCAGATCAGACCAATCACCTAGAATTTTAGGACAATACATACATACATACATACATACATACATACATACATACATAAATCCCTGCCACAAGGAAGCTCTAAATCGTCTTTCTTTTGGGTAACTTAAGTCGATATATACTGAGGGTGACAAAATCAGTCCAAATGAGTGTTTGCAAAAAAAAGTGTGGAAATGAAAATAAACAAGTCCTGAACTCTATAGTGGAATACTGTTCACTTTGTATCATACTGCATTAGAATAAAATGACCACCCAGTCTGAAATGCAGAAAACAGTCAAATATGTTACTGGACTAAAGTCTCTATATTGTTTCATTTGGGTAGTGATTATGACCCAGCAACTTTTCATTTTATTAAAGAGGACATACTTCCGAAAACTGGCAGTTGCAATTAGACCAAGATTTATCAAAACTGTCCTCTTGTAGGCCACACTATGCCTGGTTGTCCATCCTAATGAGGAAAAATTATTGTCTGCAAGACAATCTGGCATGTGACTTCAATTGGCCCGTCATGCAGAGTCCAAGCTATTCTAGAAATCCTGGTTCTAGACAGAAAGAAAAAACCAAAAATGAAGAAAGGACGGGTGCAAAACCAGGCTACAGGGAACCTGCCTATTATGATAATCACAGTCTCACTCACTGTACAAATGCCAAAGCCTGAAATGCCTTCTGGATTCAAGCCCCATGTTAGAAGAATTGTACATACCTAACCTAGCATTGGCTAATGGACTATTTCAAAGCCAGACCCCCTGCAAGCCCACAGCTTTTCCTTCTCTCCACTTCAAAATTTATATAACTACCTTTCTTTTAAAAAGTGGGATTTTTATTTCCAAAATGAGTGAACTCATTTTGGTGAACAGCAAATTTGAACATTTGTGATTTTCCTGCAGTTCGTCAAATAATTTGCATCTAGTACTTTTTCAGCAAATCTCTTGTATTTGCAGTAATACATTTTTTTGTTTTTTGGCAGAGTGAAAAGCAGGAGTGTTTGCAAGGCGTGTGTGGTGTGTACTTGCATGAGTGCACAAACTGCAGCTGGATAAGCATCTTAACTGCCTTTGTTTGAGGCCACACAATGGTCATGCCTCTCCAGGTCACAAAAGCTCTGCTAGGACTATCATCTGAACCGCTTTCCCTAAAAATACCACAAGATCAGCTCTCACTAACTCATTTCACTATTACATAGTCAGAATGTGGTAAAAGTCGGGCCAATCTCTACCTTGGTATTTTAGCAGCTACTGAAGACAAAAATCGAGAAATAAAAATAAAATTGAGATGTTTTTGAGAATGTGCTTTTTGGGATGAGGCAACCCAAATCCCAACTCAATGGGATGAGCATATGGACAAGGCAACCTTCTTGTGGTGATTTGTTCCCCTTGGCTCTCCACGTGTTCTAGGTCGAGGCCATTTCTGATTGGGATTGCATCATAAAACATGGGCAGAGACCCAAAAGCCATAGTGGTGAAAGGCATCTAAAAGGCAAGCACTTACACTGACACCTTGGTTCTCAAAAAAGAAAAACATGTGTGAAGAAACCCAGCATTGCCCCTTTAAACAATGATCCATGGGCTGCAAATAGGAACTGGTGCCTGATACACAATAGACCGCTTGGACATTCTTTGTTGAATGAGTGATCTAAGCAACCCATCCAAGGTTAGAAAAATTTTCACCAACTGCTTATGCCTAAACAAGGGGTTCCTTTTGTAGTTGATGTCCACTTAAGGAACAGCTGGGCAACAATTTTTATGATGGACTTAACTGTATACATGGTCCTGTGCACAGTACGTGGTTTCATACCAAAGTGGCACCTCTGCCAAAAAAACGAAGGTGCTTAAGTCATGGTGCTAAAGTCCATTAAGTCCCATTGCTCCTGGAATGTGAACCACTCTGAGATCCCTAGGAGAAAGGCAATCTATAAATATGAAGCTTTACAGTTACCCTTAGTTACTACACTTTTTCAAAGCATAATGCAATCTGTCCCAAGTCCAATGTTTTATTTCTGTAGTGGATTCTGCTGTCCTATTTTATATATTGTTCATCATGCATTATGTTACTCTAGTAATACTTTAAAGATGTTATTCCACTATTATTTTTACTTGTCTTGAAAAATGGAAATGGGCAATAATGGAAAGGAAGATCTGCTGGTAGAATCTTTATTTAATTTGCACAGCAGAAAGTTTCCTTATGAGACTGTCTACGGACCATGGATCCAAAGGGACAGAGGACGGGGAAAAGACCACTCCTCAACATGAAATCAGTATATCAACTGATTTACCTTACTTCATTATGGACATAAAGTGTTCTTGGAAAGCTGCAGCTGCATTTTGGGCTCTCACTGAAAACAAGGAAAAGGTGCAGAGGGTGCAGAAAACAAATGTTTTAAAGATGAAACTTGAACAGCTATGCAATGATAGAACATTCTACTTGAAATTAGTTACACAGTTAAGGGAATCCAGAGGATAAAGGATCACTGCCCTTTTTTTTTTTTAACCCTTTCCGCCTCATGAATGTAAAAATGTGCTTGTAATCTTAACACTATTCTAGATTGAGCAGAGCAGCCTTTAAATTCACACTTCACAAGACTTCAGGGAAAATAAATTACTAATGAACGGTATTTACAGAGGTGGCATCTAAGCGTGCTTTCATTTGCTTTTCTAAAGTAACGGTGTAAACTACAAGTAATTAAAAAAAATGCAGAGAGTGGTTCCTCCTAGTAAATTTGGGTCAGGCTAAGACTAAATAAGTATAATTACTGAAAAGCTAAGTTCAGTGAATTTGCCTCTGCACTGAAACTATGTAAAAAGCATGTCATCCATTCTTGGGAGCCTGAAGCCTCAGCTGAGTGATCTGGGGAAACAATTTTGTGTGATGCAGAGTAGGTGCTCAATAAATATTTGTTTAATGAGTAGCAAAGCCATCATTATCTCCTCTTTAATCCACCCTGTTCCCATAATGCCAAGTATCTCAACCATTCTTTCACTATCATCCTGTAAAGAGCCTTTTTTAGACTCTTGCTCCTCTATCCGTGCTGTCCCCTCATGAAGTCTGAATATCTGTTTATGTACTATGGCCTGCTGGAGGGGGCACAAGACACTGTAATAGCTAAGTACCAATTTTAGGGCAACGCGGCCCCCATTAAGAATGCATGCTGAGAAGGTCTGCAATAGTATTAGGTTATGTATGTCAGATCTATCTATAGGATATGTCATCTAAAAGTTACCAAGAGTCCCTAGGCCTGTGTTCTAGAACAATGTAGGCAGGGTCAAAATCAATCAGGACCACTGGCCACAGGGGCAGCCAACCCGTGAACTCGTGAATTAGGCTTGAATACTACCTAGGTGCTGCTTCAATCTTCTTGTGGACTTACAAAATGGCTTTACTACTTGGTGACTAAGGAGCACAGTAAGTAAAAGGCTTGCAAGATGCAGACACTGCCCTGGTAACTCATACTAGTGCGGTAATCTCCCTCCTGCCCAGCACTGAGGTTGTCCCCGCCAGGTACCACTGTTTCCTGCCCTGGGCTTGCTTTGTCAGTAGGTGAAGTTCTGTGTGCTCACTACGCGATCTGAGCTATCTGCGGGAATCCTACAGAGTTTTCTTCAACACCTCTAGTGTTTAAATAAAAACAGTTTACTATTACAGAGCCAACCAAACCCAGACATCCACCATCTCCCACCCCAGACAGAAGATGCTAAAATAGATTTTAAAAGAAGAAATAAAAAGCTCAGCTTTCCCTTTAAGCCTGTGAACAATAGAAGGTCACGTGATCCAGTGGCCTATCATCCAGCACATTAATAGCTGTGCTAGAGTAATTACACTTGTGGTATTTTTGCCTCAAGTGAAATTCTGAAATAAGAGGATGGAAATTATGATACTGCTGATAAATATTAATAAGTGAACTTTTAATTTTTTTGCCACAATATTCAAAATGCTAAGCATCCTGCTAATGCTGAAGCAGCCGATGTGTTTGCCTCCAGGGAGGACGATGCTTTGTGCACTTAAGAAAAAAGTTTAACGGAATTAAAATTTAATATCTAATTAGAGTGAGGCTAATATATTTTGAAATGAGTGGGGGAGACATGTGCCTCTGCTGCATATTCGGGACAGCCGTTAATCTTACCTGTAAAGCCGCATTGAGAGGTGTGCAGTAGGCGTGGCTGCTCTGCATGTTTTTAATGAGAGAAGGATTACTGCACAAGAAAAAGAAAAAAAACTCCAAGTTAAATGCAAGCAACTCCTGAGCTCCCCGCTAGGTTTTCTTTAAACTTACTGGTAACCTTCCAAATCAGAAATTTCCCCCACTATCAAAACCGAAGAGAAGTTAGGTTTTCTCAGTATCGCCTGGCTTTATTGCGCTGGTCTGTGTGAACTTCTCCGGAAATACAGATTACGCTCTTCAAGGAAACTGCATGTAAAATTCTGGCTTAATTAATGGTCACTCCCTCCACTGAAGAATTTTTGTATCAAAATAGTGACCTCTCTGCCAATCTGTAACAGCTTCCTTACTCTCACAGGAAAGCAGAAGCAGCATCCTGGCTAGGGGGCTAGGGAGTCAGGGAGGTGACCGCAGCATTTCTGGGGATGAACTGGCACAATCTTGGCTCTTACATCTCTCCATGATTTGAACTGTAGAGTTATTGCTAGGGATATGGCATGGCGGCTCCTAATGAGGATCTCAAAGGCATGTTTTTGCCAAAGGAAAAGAGAGAGAAGGGTGTGCAGGAAGAGGGTCAATGCTAAGGAAGGCAGGAGGTCGGGCTGAAGCTTTTCTGGCACAGCCAAATCTGGGAGGGTATGAGGATATACATACAGTTTTTTGTATGAGAATATTTGATACCATGTCCACTAACTGAAGACAAGACACTGTTTTAAGAAAATCTCTAACCTAAGAGGGAAAATGCCAAATAATCAGAGGAATACTGTGGGAAGGGAGTGGCTTCCAGTAGTAAAGGACCTACATTTACTGGAGGTGTTTAAAGGAACTATATGTGCTGTTATCCATTTCTTTCCTAAGCTTGAAGCATTTTAATCAAACATTTCACTAATTTTACATTATTATACTAAGCAAAAATAAGAAGAAATTTACCCAATTAAATATACATATTAACTCAAAATAAAAACTTCCTTTTTACTTGGAGAAATTATGAGTCACACAGAAATATTTAGTTACAGGCTCCCCATAAGCTGCTGAATCAAAAGATAACCAGTATGTGCATTAAAGACGTCAAAAAAGCATTATTCAAGGCACTGGTGTTCCACAGAGAAACGAGAGAGATACATGTACAAATCATACAATTCAGTTCCGTTGCAGAAAGCTGTGGCACTGCTTCTTGGTGAAATGCAAAACTACATGGGATGAGTCAACCATGCAAAGCCAAAGCAACAGCAGAAAAAAAAAACAAAAGCAAGTAAAGGCTCTTACTGTGCGACAAGCTCGTCAAAGTTTTCATCGGGGCAGTATTTGCGAGGACGGCCTCGTTGAATATGGCGGCCACGTTTAAACTCTTCGTCATCAACTGTCCAAAAGGACCCAAACTCATCCTCTACTCTGACAAAGCACTTATGCAGTGAGAGGTTGGTGCGAATGGCACCCTGGGATAGGAGCAGCAGCAAAGGAGATGAGGTGGCAACAAAAGGAGACGGGGTTGGGGGTAGAACAGACATCCAATACAGGGAACAGGAAAAAGAAAATAAAATGCAATAAGCATAAGCAAATGGTTTGTGAGGGTTAATATGCATTGCCACCTAAAAGCTACTAGCATGTGATGCAACAAAGACTGGCAAGCAGGGCGGGGACTGGTGGGCATACAAAACAGGAGGGATGAAATGCTTTTTTGCTTCCCTTAACTGAGACAACGTGAGACCAGTCCTTTGGTCTAACACCATCTAGCAGCCAAAGCTTCTACGTTACACTTGTTAGCACAATCCGAGCTGGGCTGAGAAGTTCAAACACGGTGGACGTACCCACTGATCTTTTGTGGCCTTCGTTTTTGGAACTCTACTTCATCCACTGTCCATACTGCCCCTTTAACGTTTTCTACTCGCACAAAACACTTGTGAAGACTAAGATTATGACGCACTGCATTCTGCAGCAAGTATAAAAGAGAGAACATTTACATTTTCTATAAGAAAAGACTCCAAAAACAGCAGTAAATTCAGCCTAACAGTCCACATTTGTAAAACCACCCCCAAGAGCTATAGCAACCACCCCCGTTGCTTCTTTCTTGTGGTCAAGAGCGCCTTTTCCAAAAGCAAAGGTAAAAAACCCAAAACCATAAATTAATTGTACTTTGGCATTTTAGTCTAGTGTAATCTCTGCTCATAGTGATCCAGAAGAAAAAAAATTTTTAATATGCACATAAGCTTAAAACAGATACCACAGTAGAAGTCTGAAAATACTGTTAATATGATTTTGAAAATAAGCAAACGTAAGCATAAAACTGTGCCTTTAAATTCACTTACCTCCCATAAAGAGGGCAGTTTGTTTCTATTTTGTAAGCCATTAAAGATGAAGACTCAGTTATTACTGTTCTATATATTTTGTTCTTGTTCTTTTTGTTTATTAAAGTTTTGGCTTTAAAATCTTCTATGGGTTTTCTCAGATTTATTAAGAAGAAATCTAAATTGGATTTTAGCATTGAGAGTACCACTTCCTGCAGCTGACAGAAGCAGGGGTGAAATGCCCCCCAATGGATCAGTATCCATCATCAAGCTATGTCTTACCTTCCAGAATCTATATAGAAATTGGCCCTTATTTATGGGCAAGTACCTTAATTAACTAAGAAAGTGCCAAAGGAACATATGAGTAGAATTCTCAATGGGAAGATGATGATATTCCTGCATTAATGGTTTCTACAGACACATGTTTCTTTCTTATGGTTAAAAAAAAAAGTCATCTCTGTTCATTCCTAAGCAGAGACCCTTGACATCTATAATCTATCAGAAAGAAGGATCTCAACTGAGGGGTGAAAAGCTTCTAACGTCTCATGTCTCCTTTGAATTTCAGGAAAACCCACGACCCTTACTGGATGAAATAACAAGCATTTCTTTAGTCCTCCTGATTAAACTTATTGATCTGGACTCAAAATTAGACATAAGGACATTACAAAGAGGCACATGTAATTTACTCAAACGTTCTTCTTATAGGGAACATGCAGGTGACAGTGGGCATGAGAAGTTGATGCATACATCGCACTTCATATACCCTGCTTCAAGCTCCTTATTCAATTCCACTAAAATTGCTATTGCTCAGACATTTTGCAGCCCTCCCCTTCTACCACCTGCAATATTTCCTCTCTAAATTAGCCTTCAAATGACAAATCTTAGTATTTTGAGAGGGGTTTCAATTTTTGAATGATCACCATTGGTGACTCTGAGGAGTCAAACTAAATAATAATGAATTTTTTCTTTTCCGATATGGAATATGTAGACGATAAAGAGACCAGTTTTATTACATGGCCTGCCTGATGAACCTGCTCCCAAGGAGAATACACACGATGAATTCTAGAGGATCTTTCTCAGCATAACTGGGGTAGGTTCAAGACACCCCAGGTGATGGTGAAAGGACACCCTGATTCACAGACAGGTTTGCTAGCTTTGCATGAAAACAAAACTCTCTGAAAAACATTTGGCATGTTATAATTGTACTTGGTAAGACCAATTTCTTTGTATATAAACTGTAGTCTGGTCTCTAAATTAAGTAAAACTATTTTTTATACTGTTCACAAGTACAGTACAAGGATGCTAAGCATCCACTCTTATCTCTTAGAACAATACTGAGGAGGTTGAAATAAAGAAATACATCCAAATTTCATTTTCAAAAACCAGACTGAACATGGATACATACAAGAGACATAACTGGGAAAGAAATTCACATGTCCTCTCATCTTAATCAGTTTGATGTTTTAGAATAAGCAGCAAAATGTACAAAACTGAAAAGATTTAAAGAAGCCATGTTTGGAAGAAAGGATGCTTTAGATGTGTCCAAACTACATGGCCATGTAAATAAAGATGTAAGGTCAAAACTTAAGTTTTGTATTCAAAGATGTTGTGAATACACCTAAGCACAAGCAACTAGAAATCAAGGGTTTCCCCAAAAGATGAATACGCTCTTTTTGGTCATCACTTCAACTGGGAACTTCATCTTTTGTCTAAGATCATAATACAAATAAGGACATGTAGAGGAGATTATACACATTGATGAGTCATTAAGTACTTCATTTTGGATTATTTATATTAACAATACTTTTTTCTCCAGTTTGCACAACTGAAAAAGTTAAAACTAAAGATCTGAGCTTAAATATCATATTCAAAACTGATAATTATTTGTAAATGTGATTATTTGCTACTTATAAAAGGTAATTTGAAGAAAATGTTTGCTTTATGCTATACTGTCTACATTTTGAAAAGTATTCATAGCTAAACACCTTTGTATTTTACCTCCCAAGGCAGGTGGAGGAAGAGGGTGGAATTTTAAACACAGGTTCCCTTCAGTGCCCATGTGTCTTAATGGAACGAATAAAGACATTTGAGGCCATATAGATACCAATAGCTCTGTAAATTTGATGAATTAATTCTATGGTTATATTCATTTTCTTTTAAAATGCTAATTTACCAAGAATGTGAGGGAGGAAATATGATTTGTTTTTGCTTGTGTTTTTCTCCCATATAAAATTAAGGAAATAACAAGAAAGACATTTATTTTATGCAAAACAAAATTTCCTTGCACCCTCTGATTAATCCCTATCTTATTTAAAACAATGACATGTAAAAATATCCTAAAATATTTTCATTTTAAATGTACCTAAATGTTTTAGGATTTAGGGAGTATAAGAATTTTAGGTAGTAAAAATGAAAAACAAAACAAAAACAAAACCAAACCAAAAGTCACAAATATTCTATTGTTCCTGCCTTCTTGTACACCAATATTAGAAACTAAGAAATTGAAAGTGGGGAAATTACAAAAAATTGCGAGAGCTTCATCTAACACAATGGAATAAATACTAACAGAATCTATGAACCAATTGCTGAACTGAGAATGAGGCATGTCATGTGACTGCATGCTTTGTTGGGGGTACCCAACATGGACCTGTGGAATTTGACCTGTTTTAAGGCAAATGGAGTTGAAGTGAAGTTACATAATTCCGAAACTACTTTTCTTTCCCAGAATATCTATGAATCTCTAACGAACAGTCTCTTGACTTAAAAAACCTAAAAATTCAATAAAGTATTGTATTTTCCTGTAATAACTCCCATGTACAGTGCTGGAACTTGGATTGCAAAGCTTCCTTCACTAATTGGGTTAAGGAGATTTTATACAACCAATGAAAGTTATGTCAAGTTTGATCATTTCTCCTGGTCCTTAATGGCATAACAAAAGTTACCTACACATCACTGCAAATACTGGTGGTGGCTAAAGACATAAAAGCACGAGGTTTGTGTTAAGTAGCCGGACCACCTCAAAAGGAGGGCAACAGTGCCACCTGCTCCTTTGTCCTACATGTTCCAACCAGCGGGAGATGATTTGATTGGATGGTCCATCCAAATTTCTGATGCTACTGTAATGGGAGTCTTCCAACCCAGTGTTTTAACCACAATGGAACTATTTTCTCAAGCAAATATTACTATAAATTAGACTCTTTGAGTGGATCAAAAAATGTAAATGTAACTTACAACAAGTACATTTTTTCCCCAACACACTCTCTTCTATAAATGGTAAGATACCTTTTAAACAGGCCTGCAAGAAAGCTTACCTTCCATGTGGCTGCATTGCGTCGAAAGTAAGCAAACATTCGTGTGAACCAGTTATAGATTTCATTTAGTGTTAGCTGCTTTTCTGGAGATTCAAGAATGGCCTGTGAAGCCAAAGTAACAGAAGAAGGTAATTTATGACCAAATCAGCAGTACTGTCATTATACAGTTTCTTGCAAATATAAAATAACCATGATTCAGAGCTAAGTCCTAAGAAAGGTTTTACAAAATGATCTCAGATTAATGGTTGTATTTAACAGTTCAATAGCAAAATTCAAAATGAAATTATCTAATTGTTTGGAGTTCTTATTTCTGTTTCCATACAGAAATATTAATTTATTAGTCATTCATAAAGCAGAATCAAAGAGAAATGCAAAACATTTCACTAGCTGATTAAAGCTCAGTAATTATTTAGAGCTCAGATTAATTCTAGGGATCAGAGATTACTGTAGCTTGTGATAATTGACTTGCCATCTTTAAACAGGCTCATTTTCACTGTTGTGTGAAATGAATTTCCTAATAATCACATCATATTGTAATACTTAATCAAAAGCAATTATGTTATATATTTCAGTTTTAAAAAACCTTATAGACAAGGTTTTAGCATGCCTGCATTCTAAATGGTTTTAAATCTACTCCATCAACATATCCATGTACATGTACTTCTTTTGATATAATTTCACATAATGTGTTATTTACTTACCTGCCTAATTAAGGATGCATATGTAAATGGTGGTCTAACTTCTGCATTCTTATAAAATTCTTGGTTCTGCGCAATATCTGCTAAGTAAGAATCATTGTCTTGTTAATGATCACATTTGAGGTTGGTCTACAAAAATTGCATATTGCTTTTTTACATGAGGCAAAAGTAAGAGTATCTACCTGAAGAAATGGGCACGTTGTATTTGTCTGAGTACCGCCTGCGGATGGGTCCCACCGTGTGCATGCTGGTGGTGGTGATGACGGAGGGTCCTTGGGTGACGGGAGTGATGGGGGCAGTTGGGGTAGTTGGAGTATGAGGTAGGCTCTGTGGAGAAGCCTCTGATGCAGATTTAGAGAGTGTGACACTTGATACCAGATTCAGCTGTGAGGAAAAGAACAATTCTTAGAAGATCTTCAAAAACAAACAAACAAACAAACAAACAAACAAACAAACAAGAAAACCCCCAGAACAACCAGGAAAGCATCTAAAATCTAGCAGGGATAATACAGAGGGCATGCCTGGCTAGTTTTATTTCTTTAAGTAGATGTTTCTAATCCACTGAAATATGAGGTGAGTTCCTATGTAAACATAACTCACTCAGCAGTGAGCTGGGATTTGTTGGTATAGACCTGAACTCTGCAACGAGACTTTTTGCAATGTGCTAGCACAAGTGAGGAGCTGTTTTCCATTTAATTTTTAATAGGAAAAAAAAAACCTTTCATTTTAATGAATTTAAATTTAGCCACGTGTCAGCAAGTGCCTACCACAGTGCACAGCGCCGAGAACAGCTACTAAAATTCACAATGAAATGTCTTGGATGGGAACTACTACAAGTATGTCTGGCCTGTGACTGAATTGAAACAAGTTGTATTGATCCAGTAAGCTGTCATTTTGTCCTCTTGGCCAGGAAAGACTAATCTTCGAGCTTTATGTGTAATCTTCATTACTCTACCAAATATAGGACTGGAATCTATTAATTTAATAAGGATATAGCATATGAGAGATATGGAACTATAACATTTTTGTTGATTTTTTTCCCCCTTCAAGTTATAAATGTTCACCACCAATGTGCAGGGTAGGGCAAAAGTAGGTTTTAGAGTTATTTGTATGGAAAATAATACAGTAATTCATAAATAATAATACAAGAAGAAACTCTGTGTTTCACAAACAACTGTAAACCTACTTTTGTTGCACTCTATTGGAATAATCTATTGTATCAAGTAAGAGAAGGAATACTGTTTATTTGAAGTAATACAGAGAAAAATCAATAGTACTGTTTTGATTCTTTCTTTGTGCCTGTCAATTTAACTTTCACCCTGAAGCACTACCCTAATTAACACTGGAAAAAGAGGTTTGTCCTCTCACCCCCCTTTCCCAAATCTGTTGTTACAGAAATGTTAAGTCTGGCTGTGCTGAAGAACTTGATCATTTTCAACATACTTATTACACTTTACACAGAATTGCTAACTCAGATACATACAGTTGGCCCAAATCCAAGAAACTTCAGCAGAACAGGCTTATGTGATAACATTTTTTCAGGCCATATTTCAAATCACTTAACAAAATAAGACTGTTTCACCATCACAATAGTCCTAGTACAAGGCTTTATTTGTGGAAGGTATTCAAAATGAGATTCCTCTGAGATCATAATCAACAGACTTATTAAAAGAGAGTTCCAATTTATTGAGACGACTCAACCTTGCTCATACTCTAGTAATGAAAAAGGCCATGAGAAACTTCTCTGCCTGACATGTTTAGAGTAATTCCATAAAAGGGCAATAAATCTGAAGAAAAAGAAAGATCAAATATCGTTAGGAAAATATTAATGGGAAAATGTAAACATGGTGTTGGAAACTGAATGCTGGGTTGCCAGCTTTTAGTTGTGCTTTCTCTTTTATGCTCCCCTTCCCCTGAAACGGTGACTCTGACAACAGAGGACCCCTGACCCATACTCCTATGCCTGAGAAGAACAAGCTAAGGACACTGTACTGCTCTGAAAAATCCCCAGGCAAGGTGGGGAGGTGCTGGGAGGAACTGCTTTATCAGTGCTGGGAACCTGACTTCATGACATACATCTGCAAACTCAGTGCTTGCAGTTGAGAGTAGCAGCCATGGAATAGAGCAACAGAGGAGGCTGCAGAGAAGGCAAGCGGTAAGGTTAGGGCTCTTCTTTGCCTCGAACCTTTATCACTGACCACACGCAGAAATCATGTATAAGCATCAGCTTATTCAATGAGTCAAGGAAATAAGTGCATGAAAGGCTAACACTCATAAATATATAGCTCTTAAAATTCAGAGGTGGCTGCACCTAAGAATATCAGAATATTCTGGAAAGTCATGGATACCACATATAAAAACCAAGCTGTAAACTACTTGTCTCTGTGTGGTTTTCACTTAGTTCTCATACCATAACTAACACTTGAGACGTTATTACTCATATTTTATAGATACGCAAACTGGGGCTCATGAGAGATTAAATAACTTGCCCATATTCACAACCTGGACCCAAAGTCAAACATGTGCTTGTGAGCCTGGGCCTTTTGCATAATCATCTTCTTATGCCCAGTTAATGAGAAACAAACTAACAAACAAACAAAAAACTTTAAAAAAATCCAACAATTTCATTTTTCTGTAGGCTCATTTTTTGGGAAGGATTCCTGCTTCTAAATGACATTCAGTAAACATTCCTGAGCAAATATGAGGCCTCTGATACTAAACAGAGCATGCACTGCTGCCCTTGGAGAGCTTACCATCAAATGAAGGCACTGCTCCAAGGAAAACATGCCAACCACCATCAAACAATTCTGAAGACTAACTTGACTTTCTGGCTTCTCTTTTCAGGTTACAGACATTACCCTAAACACCATGACTTTCTTAAAAATGTTATGAAATTTTAATATAAATACAACATCCATAAAAAATGTGTGCTCTTTTCCAGTTTTGTGGTAAAGATCACCAAGTCTACTGGGTTCTACTCTAGTTGCCAAAAACCAAAACTCATGTAAACACTCAGGAAATGAAAACCATGTCTGGTGCTCAAAGGCAACAGTAACAGACAAGTCACATAGGACGATGACAAAAATGCAAAAAGAATCTGACTCTCACAGCTTTTACAAAGATCTCAACACTTGGACTGTTGCTACCAAAACAGCAGTGAAAAATAAAACCCCTCCAGGTTACCATGATCCACGAAGAAATACAGTAGAATTTTATGGAGGCTTTTGAACATCAGTAGCAATAAACATTTAGGCAGAAGAGAGCAGAGAGGAGGCTTCCCAGGCTTGACAAATGACACCGTGATCCACACCCACTGCTGGGCTGTCTCTAATAAGCCACAGAGGAAGCAGCCAATCTGAGCTAATTACCAGATAAAAATGTATTGTAAGGACTCTAATTAGGAGATGCGGATGGAGTTGATCTAATGATTAAATGCTGCATTTGACTGACCCCACCATCGATGTGCAGTGGTGCAAGATGTCACTGGAATATTTTGTAGAAACAGTAATTTTATTTCAAGGAGGGGTGGCAGTAATATTTGTAATGATGGCTATGAGGTAAACTAATTAAAAGACAGTTCCTAGAGGAAGAGGGTGGCTGAGAGCAGCTGTGGCCATTCCAACACCAAATGCCAAGTCTCAATAGAGGGACTGCAGTCAAGTGGAAAATTTCTGCCTGACCTCTGCCCTTGCTATTAATTTGCAGGAAGACTAATGACACATATACATATTCCCACAAAATTGTTCTAATTGCTAATTTGCCAAAGGAGCCCATATTCCAAATTAAACATGACTGCAGCCTGTGAGAGAAGAGAGAACAAAAGGCTGTAAACTCCAAACAGAGGGTGCTCTGCTGCTCAAGATCATTTGAAGGCTGAACCAACAAGTTAATGAAATGTCAACCTTGTCAACTGCAATAGAAGTTTCTTAACTTCTAAACTTTTGTTCGACGATCACATGCTTGTCTTGAGGAGAAGCCATCTTGCAGAGGAAGGTCACGAGGGACAGATGTGACGAGGAAGGGGAAGGGTTCAAAACAGGCTGTGTTCAAATTTGCTCTTTTAATTAAGGTCTGTCTGAACACATTGGACAAAAAGAATTAATTACAGACGCAGAACAGAAGAGCAAATCAGGAACTGTGTGGGTTTTGCTATAATCTTGAAATATTCATCTTCACTGTAAACTATTAAAGCTTAATATAATCATCAATTTGAAATGAAAGCATATGTACTTCGTGGTTCTGACTATAGTTACGGTTTCAAAAGATAATTTCTTCTGGGGAATGGCGCAGGAAGGGAATGGACTGGGAGGGTTTCTCTTCCTATTTTTCTTATTGTGTTCATTTTCTATTTAAAAAGAAGTTGCTAAGTTTAGAAAAGTCAGTAACTCTGATATTTTCTACATGGCAAGTTTCCACCATGTGATGATTTGGGCAAAGATAATCTCTTTGAAACTGTGGCCAAAAGTGAAATTCTTATGTCACCTAAAATTGCTGTAGGATTTTATTTTTTAAAATTTATGTGTGCTCTTGACCATCGTTACGGAAGGACTGTCCCGGAAATCTTACCAGCCCAGCTATTGTAACTGTCTCATTACCTAATATTCTGCTTAGCCTTTGTGCAAAAATCAATCTTTACTTTTTAAACAGTAACCTCCTCTTTCTTTTAAAGATGATGAGTCATTCGCATTTAAAAAAAAATAAACAAACCGCTGATGCAAACCCGGACAGAAACAGACTTGTCATCAAGTATTCCCATAAGAACTCATTTTTATTTTTGTTTGTGCTCTTGTCTCACATGAGAACAGATTCTGAGAACAAAAGACAATCCTGAAACCAAAGCTCCAAGGGACCTCACTGCTTAGAAGGGGTTTTCAGGCTCACAGAACTCATGTTTCTGCTGTTGGTTTTACTGGCCTGAGCAACGTCAAGTCCTGCTATAACTGTGATGGAGTTTCTCAAAATGAATCACTCATGTTCGTCCAGAGATGGCCTTTCTGAGGCTGAAGGGACATCCCTAGACTGTGGGAGGCTCGGACGTGATGACAGCGGGAGGCTTTTGTTACCAGCCTTTGCCTTCCTTTGCCATCTCAGCCTGGCCTGGCAACTGTGTTCAAGGGTCTGGTGGGGCTGGTGTCACTGACAGGGACACTCAAAACAAAAACACCGGCACTGAGTTGAAGAGAGGACTTAATGAGAAAGCGTGTATAAAAATAGCTAAGCGTGTCTGCTTGAGAACTTCCTTCTCTGACTGCCTAACACTGTCTCTCGGCCACAGCCCGATGGCATTGGCCCAAAGGGTTGGCTGTTTCTCTAAGAGTTAAAAGACCCCCTTTGCAGACAGGGAGCACTTTGTTTCTGTAGCAGCTAAAACTATTTCAAAACAGTCCTAATTGCTATGGTTAGAGGAAAAGAGGATGTGTAAAAAGGAAAATCCAATACTGCATTTCACTTCAAATATCCCAGTTCCTCTAAGTGTTTTATAACATTTCATCAGGAGGGATATGTGACCTGCACTATAATTACCTGTCCACCAAATCTGAAGGAATGTGGTTTCTCCAGGATCAGGGGTTGTGCTCTGGTGTGGAGAAAAACCCTAAAGCAAGGTGTACTTTTTATGTAGTGAGTATTATAAAGTGTGATTTACAGTATTTTTCTGACATAATGACAGTGAAGTCTTTTAAAAATATCCTTAACAACTTAATAAAGTCGTAACACAGGCACACTTCTTTTGGGTGCTCTGTTTTGTCCTCTGAGTTACTCCTCCCTCCCAGGAAACAGCTCAGCTAATTCTCCATGGAGTACGTATGAAGGCGCTACATTTGGTGTTTACTTTGACAACATTATTGAGTTTGGAACCAAAGAATGTCAATCACACTCATCATGATAGTTTCCTATTGTCCAATTTTTTCACTTTTACTTCTCTTATAATGGAACAGACATGAATCTTTTAAAACTCAAAATACAACAATTTGACTATTCTAAACATAAGTCTAGAAAGGCTTTTTCCATCACACATGCTCAACTGCTAGGACAGTCAGCGGCCCCAGGAAACTCACACCCCCTTCCGTCAGGGCTCAACTTTAACACCGTGAAAAGTAAGAAATGCTTATTTCGTCTGATGCCAACATTACTATTACTTAACTTCCTCCAAGCTGCTTCCCACTACATACCTTCCTCAGAGACACACAGACACATACACCTTTTCTTAGCCCAAGGAATGATTCATGAAGCTGACTTCTTTCCATTCCTTCCTATTTATCTAGGTATCATCTTAGATGTTACTTTGTCCAGAAGTCTTCCTGGACCCCCACCAAAATACTTCAGTGTTCTACTCCCACATAGCACAACACATGCAGTGCGAGTGTGAGTAAGAGATTGTGTATGTGTGTATTTATATGTTAGTTTGTCCCACAAGTCTCCAAACACCTCAGTGGCAGGGATGCTTGTAGCTACTTTACCACTGTTTTTATGCAGCAGGCCAATATATATTTGTTGATGCAATAGCTTGATTTTAACTGCAACTTGCAGTCTCAGTCGTGGGTATAATTATTTTGGACTTGAAAGATTTTACGGAGACCAGGCAAGCATGCTATTGAAGGGGTCCGATGATTAAGAAGACTGTGAACTCTCATTCCAGTTCACCAATACGCACCCAGTGTGGGTGAGCTCAGACCCACTTCTAAACACCTGAGGTCTGTCCCAAGATGAGCATATCCTCTAACTAGCCAAATGTGAAGTCAAGTTCCACAGTACCATCCAGAAGATGCCATCTATGACTTGATGTAAGAGCAATCCAAGAAGGTTTTGGCAGTTCCTTTGATGGAATGAAATGGAGGCTGGTTGGATGACTAGATACAACAAATGACACTTACCACCCAAACGGCATTTAGTGAAAAGCAACATTTATAGCAAAGCATTCTATCACTTAGTAACTACGAATTTAAAAATAAACATGAAGTTCCTTTTAAACAGAAATAGAAAAAACCTCTCAAAGTCACTGTCAAGGCTGTAACATTAAAGTCCCCATCTATGGTTAGATTTGAATCCTGGTGACTGCTTACTTCCAATCAAAGATTCTAGAAGAATATGCATTTGAACGCACACCATGCATTCTATTATTTAAGGTGAAATAAATTAATTATAGGTAAAAGAGAATACTGCACACATTAGACGCAATCGCCAGATAAGCTCTGTTATCACTAAAGTTGAAAGAATCAAGGGTTTGCTATGCGTGTGTGCCCTTTTTTTTTTCTTACCATTTTTGGGGGGCAAGGAGGTATAGACTTATGCAAAACACTACATATGTCTACCTTTTATAATTAATTTCCCCATGCCTCACTTATACATATTTTAATAATTCTTGATTTACAAGATGGTATCTATAATAAAATTTTCTATTTCCCAATAAATGAAAAGGCAGGTTCACTCCAGCAACAGTGTGTCACACAATATCTGCTTGTCAGGCACCAATTTTTACTTCTTACGTGTACGTTAAGGGATAAGGAATTTATAATGCTGCCTGTGAGGGGAACCACTTTTCATACACAAATGTGATCTTTTTATTTTTCAAAGGGTAATACAACAGTACATTTACATAAACTAATCCAAACAATCTATGTATTTGACAATGGCAAACCTCACACAGACGGCCCATTGTTGGTTTACATCTTGGAGTTCTTTATATTGGCTGGTAGTGCTGCCCTAGCTGTCAAAGGTTTGACTTGGACTCTAAATAAATGGTTATAGAAGTGCTGTGCGGCGATATTGAACTTCTTTGCAAAAGAAAACCTGCTGTGTATGAATTCAAAAGCTATTAATTTTTCAGTCAAAAATATTCGTGCCTATTTCTTTTAATAAAGAAATACTGTGCTGAGCTACTAAGAGATAATGTTGACTAGTGGTAGAGAATTTTCAATAGAGCAGTTAAAAATAAATTTAGTAGGAGGTCCCCTTCAAAGTTATAATTTTCAACAATGTAAAACATTTTTTTTAAATACTAATCAAGATAAGTCTCCCTTCCTTGTGCATTTCCCCCAGGACTGCGTTTTCCTGTTCACTGGCTACTCACCGCTGGTCCTCGTGGAGATTCCCCACGGTCCTTCTGAGGCCCATGCGGGCTTACAATTGAGTGCCCCTGGGGTTTGGCAAGTCCTTCTCCAGTTTTATCCTTTTTCCTCCCCTCAAAGAAGACTCATGATCCAAAATAAGTCCGTCCCTAGACTCCAAACATTATTCTGTCATTGTCTTTAATCCATGGAGGAAGCAGAAGACAATCTCATTCTCTCCCTTGTTGCCAGGTTTAAAGACTCACACCCTTCGTCCTCGGAGGAACCGTGTCCCTCCAAATAGAAGCCATATGAATACTTTCAGAGTTTTAAGGTGATTAGTTCCCTAAAGAGTTGGCTATGCCCACTACTGAACTTAGTCATTTCAGGGTCTCCCCATACTGAGCTCACAGTATTTCTAGAATTCTTGTAAAAAGAAGGAATTGTTAGAAGTACCAAGACTAGCACAGTTGACTACTGACCCCACAACATACTGAATGGCCCGTGTTCCCCCCGCCGCCCCGCCCTCTTTTGGCTCCTACACACTCAGTCCTAGAGCTATTTACTGCACAATACAGGGAAAATAAGGGCTTTTTCTGAGTAAAAATGGATGTGCAAAGTGTTAATGATTTTATGTCCCGTATCTCAGTAATGTGTTCCGTTTCAGACATTAATTTTGTCTGCCAACAGCATCCTGGCAGGCTACCATATTTGCTGGTTAATAGTCTGACTCTGTTTTATTTCTATCACCATAAATCATACATATATGGGTGTATGTTTGCTTTATTTATAGAAAAAGTCAGTCCAAACAGATAAACCGATCCTTTGCCATGACGCTGCATCATTGCATGTTGATTGAAATTACCGGTACTAACTATAGATTGTCAACGCTCAATTAATTTTCACACAGTGACTCTGTACAAAATCAAATAAAGGCAGTGTACCTTTAAATTTTACAAATCTTAAAAATCAAGTAGCAAGGCGACTCTATTTTGAATAATCAGTTGAAGGTACTGGATTTTTAGAAATACAAGTATATGAGAAATACAACTGTTAAAGAGATCAATTTAGAAGAAGGAATGAGGCCCAAGGCAGCAGCTGGGAACACCATCCTTCCACTTTGATACTGTCTCTGTGTAGATGGCCCTCCTTGAGGTCAAGTAAAAGGGAACAAGGCAAGAAACAGGGGATTCCTAAAATTAAACAATTATGGGGTACCACATTTGGTTTCTGAATTGTGGAGTCATGTTCACTTCAAACGCTTGAGGTGCACTCCACAATCTAAGCCTCAAGCTACTGTGACGTGTGTTTCCTTCCTGTCACACTCAGACTGGACTACCCTTCGCTCCTGTTCCCCTGCTCACTGTCTCAGCTTCCCTGGACCCCAAGGCCATTGTCTTTGCTTCCATGGTCTGACTGTCTTTTCTCTGCATCATTACCATTCAGAAAGTTTTTTCTCTCCTTTCCCAGTGATTTCTCATAGCAGATTTTAGTACCTCAGTGTAGCGTCCATCATCGGTCCCAAAGAAGAGCTGATTGTCTGGGCCTTGTGAACCAGGACTGGGCCCACATCACCCCGTGTTTCCCTAAATGCCCAGCACAGTGCCCTCTTCATACAATGTTACCAGAAACAGTCAGCTCAGCTTAGCCTTCACTATTCAACACTACCAGAGTAGCCTGCGTCCTTCCTGTGATTGGGGTGGGGAAGCAGACAGGAAACGCTGTCAGGTTCCTCCATTTAGTGCAGCTCCGTACTTACGGGCTGAGGGGCAGCTTTGGGTTCTGTAGACTTCACATGCAGGTGGGTCATCATGGCTTGCAGGCGTTCTTTGTCTTTTGCAAGCTAGGATGGAGAAAAAAATCTGTTATTTCTTCAAATACAGATTTAGATAGGCTGTTACTATTACATACCATTACATCCAGAATGATACATATTCCAAATTAAACTATGGCACCATCACACATGACACAGTATCGTTCATTGCTTCATCATTTTGAAATCTAAATGACCACTGCCAAACTCCAAGTAAATAGCTGGAGGTGTCTGTGTGAGATTTCTCAATAGAAGAGACATTAGCCTTTAACTATGCAGATCTAGACCTGCTGGCACCAAGGAGTCCCATGGAACACAGACAGCTAAAAGACAAAAACGTGAATCATGCCTATTAACCAATCTTGTTCACGAGGACGCCAAAAGAAAACGAGAGAGGTAGTTAAAACTCATAAATTCATCTGCTGTGGTTGTGGGAATACTCCTAGACAGATGGGTACACTTATGCAAAATTAACTTCATCTCTTCTAACAGGTAGGTGCAGATCAAGACAGTGTTGGCAAGCAATGTTATTAGCAGGGCAGACGCAGGGCTACAGGTTCCTGTGTTCAAATATATGTGGAGTAAACTTACTCATTTACTCAGTAGGTAAGTACATACCATGTGCTAGTTGTTCATCTTAAAATGAAGATCTCCTTACACTACAGCACACTCTTCTGAAGGAACAGGAGTTTCTAATTGGATGTACATGGCAGGGACCCAAATAGTATTTATTGGATGTTACTTGCTTTATGCTTGCCCTGGACTGTTTTAACACAATATTTTCAATGGCTGAAGACAGTTGAGCAAAAGGGGACATATAATAATTACCTCTGTGAAAGAAGTGGGAAGTGTATCCCCAAAGGATAATGGTATAGTTAAGAGAATAGCTTGGAATTTTGGGAAAATGTACACAAGAGTAATGAGAGAGAGAGAGAGAGAGAGAGAGAGAGAGAGAGAGAGAGAGAGAGACGAAGTGCAGAGAGAGGGTGGGAAAGAGGGAGAGACGGAATTAAGGAGAGACTCATTCCTTCTATGTCACATAACTAAGCTTAAATCTTTTAAACATCAATTATTTTTTGTAAGCCTGAAGTTACTTCAAAATAACAATCAAGTAAGACATTTTTAGATAAACGTATTTCTAGGGGCAGACGTGTTTCAGGAATTGTAGGGACAGAGGAAGGGAGGCTCTCCATATCCTAACTGAACGACTGTCTTGAGCCATATCACATTTGGCTTTTTTTCCTCTTTATTCCCTTGTGGTTCAGGGAGAGAAACAGATTATGCCAGGGAGGTGGGGGTGGGAGGGTGGGTGACAGTTCTACAGTGTTAGCATTTATCTTTCAACAAACAGGATATGAAAATGATACCATATTAGGAGTCACTTTATGGTGTTCATCTTCTGTCCTTCAGTAAGTTATTGAACAGCCAAACTAAAAGATGCTTTGAACACAAAACACAAGGCTAAAGGAGTTTAGTTTTCCAAAGTGACTCAGTTAGAAAAATTAAAATTTTAGCAATGGGATTTTTTAGTTATTTTTTGTGAGTGTTCTAAATTTTTTTATGTTAAAAATAAAACATTTCTTAATTTAAAAACTGTTCTGTTTTAAAATTATAATGGGGCAGAAGTAGAAAACAAGTAGTCTGTCTTGGTGAACATTACAAATTAAAGGGTGAGAGGTGATAATTAATGAAGAGTCTGATGAATATTAACTGTGACTTAATTGAGGGGGAACATTCTTGATACAGTGATTACAAAGACCAAAGTAGAAAAAAATCCAAATTCTCAGCATCAAAAAGTATCATTACCTCTACACTGCACTGAAATGTGTACAGGAGGACCTTTTACTGCTTAAAGACTGCAAACACATACCTAGACTTGTACACATAGCCACACCCATAAACCCTGGATGTTTATATGCCATAGGGAACATGTTATTTTTCCATAAGAATATTATTTAGACTTCATTGTCCATTTTGAGAATTATCCAGCTTCCCGACTTTGCCTCAACCTAAACTCCACCTATAAACGATGGGCAAGGTAACAGAAAAAGGCAATGATCCAAGTTTGTGTTTTTGTTTAATTAGTGCAAACTAGCATGTAATATATTCTTAAATGAGCTTTGAATTTTTATCATCAATTCTAGCTCTAACACAAAGTGTTTTAACAGTTAAAGGAAAAAAACTGGCAGAGTTTGCTTTTTGTTTTTTTAGGCAAAGGCTAAACATTCACACCTATTGAAACCACATCCTCTTTCTAGTCTTGCATTTATAATACTCACTGGTCCTTCAAAAAGCTTTCAGATTCTTTATTACCTTTTATACCATCATTCCATGAGCTCACCACCCCATTAATTTTCACAGCATCCTTTCATTATTATGAGAATACAAACATTTAATATTAGCAAGCATTCCCTTATAAACTGAATCCCATGAAAAGCAAAGAGAAGGAGGATGAAAAATTCAGGGCAAAGGTCAACTGAAAATTTGGTTGGCAACTTTTAAAACATTTTTTTTATGTTGTGAGAGCCAAAGAGAATGACTTTCTAAAAGCTTTCCTGGTGGGTCAGGATGGGTGTTGACATAAAAGGACTGGCACGTGTCCGGGAGTGTTGGTTTAAATCAGCCAGTTTGTTCACCAATTCTGTAGTATGATAGCAGTGCGGAAATGGGTAAAGGCTCCTGACTCTGGGCATAGCATATAACCTTTGTATGTATTTAGTTCTCCCTGTAAATCTGGATCAATAATCTCTGAACTTTGACGGGCTGTTTTGAGGAGTAGGGAAATCTATGCACAGAAGCTCAGTATAGAGCCTAGTGCTTCATGATGTTAAAAAAAAAAAAACAAAACCCTTTTTTTTTTTCCCCTTGGCAAAATTAAATCAGTGAAGTCTATATAGACTTCTGGCTAAGTACATGTTTGGAATCTGCATCAACATAACGGGTTCAATGGAGTTTGTGGCTGGGCTCACTAGGGACAGAATTTTAATGCTTTAAAGGATGGAACAAAGCATGGGAAAGATGAAGCCCATTTCTTATGGATTTATGTTCTCAGTTCTCCCTGTATCTTTCTCTCATCCTAGCAAATGCTTTCCCCCCTTAGCTGATATAGGTCATTCCCTCTTCTGTTAACCATGGCCTCAAATTAGGTTTCAGACAGCCCAGGCTGTGAATGACCAGAACATGTGTATTGCTCCAGCCCTACTGATAAACGCCTAAGGCTAGGAGCTCCATTCAACATCTTAAAAGATAAAAACTAAGGAGGCTAAATACATTCTTTTAGCAGAGAGAAGGGAATATGGTTTGGGGTTCATTTAACATGATCATTTCATATGCTGTCAAGAGGACTGGTTCTCACTTGTGGGAAAAAATTCTAAAATAAATGAAGGGCTTTGGGTGTGTAAAAATACTAGAATTACTGAGGACAGGTAAGAAGGAGCTAGGTAACTCATTTAATTTCACAGAAGCCAAGACTGAAGTGACTATTTTAAGTCCTCTAGCCCTATTCCCACTTTTTATAGTGGGGAAAACTGAGAACCACAGTTGAACTTACCTGAGATCATGGAGCTGAGAATGGGCAAAAATACAATGGAATCCTGGTTCTATGAAGCTTCGTCTGACTTCTTTACATTGATGTGATTATGGACACACCCGGGACACTAACTGGGAACATATGTGCCTCCCTCCTGCTCCTACCCTGAGCTCTGACACAAACTGCACAAGAGGATGGGATACCCATGTCTTTGTAGCAGGCACCCCATTTATGGTCGGCAAGTCTGGATTATTCCCGTGCAATGATGGGCCTCAATTTAACTGACTGGGGTAGTATCTAATCTTACTAAGCCCAGCCCTAATACTCTAAGGAGGAAATGTGGGAGTAAGTAGTTTGAGTAGACCCCAAGTGTCCAAGTTTAATGCGGTGCATGTGGGAGATGCTCGCCTTTTTCCATGGGCTGACTATGCCTTAAACAGGGAGGGCTGTCTGGATTTCCTCAGTAGTTCTGTATACAGTGATGATCCAAACAGAAATTATTGAGGCAGAATAACATATGATCAGAAGACAAGCAAGAGGGATTTAAAAAAAAAAGCACTGGCTGGAAGGGGCAATGAAATTCTTCTACCAAACTGATTATTTATTAAATACTGATTTTCAACCCACTCTATCAAATTATGGTCACTCACATGTCTTCCCAAGTCAGCATCAGTGAAAACTTGTACACAATTTCTTTACCACCACCACCAACTCTCAAGTGGAGGCATCCTACAGCTGACTTCACCCTGACTGAAGAATTTCCCTACTTTGACTGTATTCTATCACCATCTTCACATTCCTTGCATGTTGTTATTAAAGACTCTCTTGACATTTAAGCAGACGCATGCTAATACTCAGTCATAGTCTAGGAATTCTAATGCTCCCGGAGTTAGGCAGGATTTTAAATTATGAAAACTAAGTGTCTGTTTTCAAAGAGAGACGTGGAAGTAAGAAACCCAGAGACGCTCTCTTCTTTTTCTTGGCTCTCCTCACAAAGCAGTGGCAACATGATGCTAGGATGCTATCAGGCCCTCCTTTGCCAGCGTTCTCCAAGACAGCCACGAGGCTGTCATCCCACTGCCACTTGTCCTGAGTACTGCCTCGGAGGGGGTTAGAAAGGTACAAAGGGGGTCACATTAAAATAATATATTTGCGAAAGTCCAGGAAGCTGGTGTGATTACAAACAGCACTGCTAATGGTAAAATAATCACATGTAAAGTCCCTACATTAATGGATTTGTGTTAGGCTTAATGTCTCCCTCTGCTACTGAAATCTGTGCATTTTTCTCCCTGCTGACACTTTCTTAGAATTTAGAGATGCTGATGTAGATGATTTAGGAAACTGTGGAATGATCCCAGTGTTACTGAGCTCCAGCCTCACCCTGCTTCGTGGACTGCAGGAGAGAGCTTCACAAGGCAGAAAAAAAGAACAGCCCAACAGCCATATTTTAAAAGTAGTGCCGTGCAACTCTCAGGTGTAGGCACAGAACCCCACAGAGCCA